CTTCAGTCACTCTCAGACGCACCCGCATGCCGAGGCACCGCAATGCCGCATGCATGACAGCACCGAGATGTATGTTTCTTCCGGGTCCCTCGCATCCGTCGTGTTGGTGGGAAGCGTGTCCAGACACCATGAAGAGGGCTTGTCCCCATGCACCGCAGACAAACATTCTCCCCTCCAAATAACAGCGGCAGCATTTCTCACATCCAGTGCGGGACCAGTAATGGGGCAACTGTCCATCGGGCGTTTTGCTGACCCCTCATGGATAATTCGTCTACACACCAACCACTCGAATACCGATCCAACGTGCAGCGTCTGGCAGGAACGCCCCCTTCGCAGAACATCTGGGGATATTCACTCATGTTCGGTGCGGAGCACTTCCTCTGCAGCAGCGCACAGCACGAATCCTTTCACCAGCGCATCGGCTCCGCCATCTCCCACTTCGCCCTCATGCAGCCCAGGTCAGCCGGTGCGGCCAGCGTCAGCTCCGTGCAGCAGCCGGCACAACCAATCGGTGCCACCCACTCATCCTTCGCGTGGCGCTGCGACCAGTGCGACACCAGCGTCCTCCCGTCACCATCGCCATCCTGCAGCTCCATGCCATCAATGTCGTCGCTGTCGCGGGGCTCCTCGCAGCCACCACGGCAGTCGTCGAGTGCACCACCACCGACAGCGCTCTGCCACGCACAGCACCATGTCAGCATTGGCAACACCAGTGGAACAATGCCCAGCACGCACCGTGAACCGAATGCAAACGCTGCCCGTGGCAAATGGGGGCACAATCAAAGGACCCTCCAGTGGCTGCACGAGCAGACGATCCGCATGCAGTTTGACAGCAACAGGGACAACTTCATCCTCGAGAATGATCCCGTGCGCAGAGGATACAACGTCACCTTCACACTCGCAATTGTCATCCAATGAATTCATTGCGTGGTACCTCCCTGAGATCCAATACTTCCCGGTATCATCCAGGTCCCTTGTGGATACGTTGATGCGGATGGGCATCCATCCCTCCCAATGACGGTGTATGGCTGCAGCGCACCAACTGCTCAAAAAGGGTGCGTCCCTCACAACAACGCGGATCCAATTCGCGCCGTCGGCACGCATAACATATTCAACAAATCGAGGGAACGTCAAAGTGACAGCAAAGCACCGCTGGCAATCACACCATAAACATCATCAAATGCAGCAGCACCAGCGTCTCAAACTAATGTGGGGTGTAGAGCAAGTAAGACATTGATGTGGGTGTTAGGCAAATATTTCGTGGCTCGCTGAAGCAACAAGGACCGATTGCGTGGGAGAAACAAAGAACAGGAGAATACAAAAGAGAATATTCAGCCACCCGCACTTTAAGAAGAAAACCAATCAATGAAAGTAAAATGGGTGCACCCAACCACAACAGAAGCAAAGATTAAAAATAAAAAAAAGCCGAAGCGTCGGACGACCAGCACACACACACTCTCATTGCTCCCGTAAAGCAAAACACACACACACAGGGAGAGAGAGAGATCGTCCACTCAATGCAATGGAAACAAAACAGAAACAGTTACGGTGCTCCGCCCATGCAGCCAGGCAGGACGGCAGCGGTGCGTGTCGTGCAAAAGAGAGCACCAACGGGCCTGCATGGGTGTGCATGCATATATACAATGGGCACATTATTGTGTGTGCTTCGTGGGGTGAGGTGAGGGCGAGAGTCCATGCAAGGGGACACGCACACAGAGAGTGAAGGACGAGTGTGTGTGCGGGCGGTGCACGGCTCTCTCTCCCTCACTCTCACGCGGCCACCACCGCAGCCGCAGCCGCACAAGCAACAACAAGAAGAAGCAAAAGAGGGGAGGTGGTGTGGGAGACCGCGGTGCTGCTGTCACTGTCGCCAGTTGAAGAGGTGGCATTTGTACCTACGGCAGTTTCGTTTTTTGT